AGTCAAAACACATTTTGCTTTTAAAAGTTATACCTTTGGAAGAAATTGAGATATCGACGTGAAACAAAATGGGTCTTCAAGGGCATATTTTTGTCTATCTATTGAGTCTAACGAGTTGTCAACTTTTTGATTTTTGCAAAAGTTTTTTTTATAGTCAAAACACATTTTGCTTTTAAAAGTTATACCTTTGGAAGAAATTGAGATGTCGACGTGAAACAAAATGGATCTTCAAGGGCGTATTTTTGTCTATCTATTGAGTCTAACGAGTTGTTAACTTTTTGATTTTTACAAAAGTTTTTTTTATAGTCAAAACACATTTTGCTTTTAAAAGTTATACCTTTGGAAGTGATTGAGATATCGACGTGAAACCAAATGAGTCTTCAAAGATGTATTTTTGTCTATCTATTGAGTCTAACGAGTTGTTAACTTTTTGATTTTTGCAAAAATTAATTTAAAAGTTATATTTTTCGAACGGATTGAGATATCGATACGAAGCAAAATGGATTTTCAAGAACAGATTTTCCTCTATCTAAGAGTCATTGGTTTTTTTAATTTACCCGAAAGTTTCTTACGGTTTAAATTAATTTTGCGAAAATTGTATTAAGAATAAAATCTTACTCTCGCGTGAAATCTCTGTGAAAAATGTTTGAAAGTCAAGATTTACGTTTACGCGTTACTCACGTCACAATGTTCAGAATTCTCGTCGGAACCGTCCGGACAATCGAGGACCTCGTCGCATATAAACGCAGTTGGAATACACATTGGACTTTTGTCACACTTCCAGTGGCCATCCTGACAAGTATTAACCGCAGTTTTGCAAACAATGCCCACCGCCTCTTCCGGTTGACAATTGTGAACACCCCAACTACAAGAAAAGAAAAGAAAAAGAGAAACACGTTGATCCGTCGAGTCAAATCGTCTCGTCTCAAAATTCACAACGCGTGATTAAAACTCTTTCAATTTATAAAATTCCTCGAAGTTTCCAAGGAGGTGAAAATCACCCATCAAAATCACATTCGCGTAAAGAAGTCTCGTTGCCTCGGCATTTTAACTGATCGACCATAAATCTAGTTGGTGGGTCCATATTCCCGAAGAATCCTCCCGGTGTCACTTCCAGAGCGCCAAGAACGAAGCCAAGCTCTTTGCAAATTACGTCAGCGTCGATCATTCCGAAACCATCGTCGCACACTTGTCCCCACACGCCCAGAACTGCGAATATTTGTCACGTCGTGAAAAAAACTTTAAATGCAATTTTTCCATTTGTCTTATAGTCGAAATTATTTACTTAGAGTTGATCGTTTAAAGTTAAAGTTAGAATTAAATAATCAATCAAGTTCAGATAGTAGATTAAAAAAAAGAAAAAATAGCCGAAAGACTATACTGTTCGCTACGTTAAAAAAAAAAAAAAAAAA